CTCATGCCAAAGACATATCTTGGGGTGGCCAATTCCAGGCCCCCACAAAGGCTTGGGCAGAAGTGGCATGTAAGAGTTGGATAAAGGGAGCAGCCAAAAAGGTAGGAGAAAGACCACATGTATTTGGTGACTCTTGTACCAATGGTGTAAAAGAGTCTTTCAAGAAAGAGGATAGGTAGGCAAATGTCTGTGCTTCTAAGATGTCAGACAAGATGAAGCTTGAAAAGTAACACAGAAGTCAGTAATGATCTCTGTCAGATTACTACTTTTGTCGAGGCATTCATGTAGAAGCCAGATTCCAGTACATTAAGGAGTGTTTAGCAAGGTAAGAAAGTGTGACAGCAAATGAAGGCAACACTCAAGAAACTTGATATTGAGAGAGAGTAAAGAAACTTTAATAGCTAGAATGTTAGGCAGTTTACAGAGACTTTTTAATTATTATTTGTTCCTAATGGGAGAGACTTGGATTTTGAAGATACAGGCAAGAGAAAGAATACTCATTCTGAGATCCCTGAAAAGGAAGTGAATGAGACTTAAAGTACAGACAGAAGGATTATACTTAGACAGGAGGAGAAGTATATGATCCATTTTAATGAAAGACAATGTGTAATTCATAGATAAGCTAGCATGTGGACTCATTACATTTTCCTGTGGGATTATTTGAAATTTAATTTGATATTCTTGAATAAAATTTTTGTATGCAGGCTCTTTTGAAGGGTACAATCATAATATACTTTTTTTCCAAAAATAAGAACAAAAACAAGATAAAATCTTTTGTATCAGAGCCTTAAATTAATGTGATTTGCTTGATTATTAATGACTCATTATATAGGCTCCTAATGGCTTTTTTTGTTAAAGTATTAGGTATAGAAATGTATGTGCTGACCTTTAAAGGCACATTCCTCTGTCATCGTTTTGTAAAACTATGGGGAAATTTACAATTGAAGGTAAAAATAAAAAGCTTAGTGCAAGAACTTTTGAAGGGTCAAAATTATGTAAGAGGTTAATCTGAAAATCAAAAGGACAGACGATAAAATTTGTTATTATAAATTCTCTCAGGAAACTTATCTTTTTCATACTTTGTCAAAAAACCTTAAATACAGTTTAAAAATAGTCTATTTTACTGTTTTATAAAACAGATTATGATATACTTTTAAAAGTAATTCAATCGTTAGCATTGGAAAGGAAATTGCATCAGTACCTTTTTATGAAGATGGTTTTACTAAGGAATTAGATCATAATGTTAAAAAACAAACATAAAACAGATCACGGCATCCAAAGTTTTGGACCTTGATGCTGTTTGAATGGATTTGGTGATCACATTATTATTTTGATATTATATTAGTGTTTTGTATAATAGAAATTTTACTTTATTTGAGTAAGTTTTCCAAATCAGAAGTTATTAACTTGTATGTTTGTTCTACCAGCACTCTTTGTGTTTAAAGTGATTGAGTACTAAACTGAAGCTGGCTCAAACAATAAATGGTTGATTATTTATTAGTTCATACAACTTAGCAACCCAGAGTAGATCCAGTTGTATCCAGACCTCGAAAAGCATCGCCAAGATTTCTTTCTTCATACTCCTTCCTCTACTCAGTTCCTAGCTAGGCTGGCTCTCTTTGGGCTCACAAAATGGCTGCAGCATTCTCAATCTCATATCTTTATATCACCAAGTAGAGCATTTTGAGCCAAAGTTCTGAAGTTCACCTTTGTTTGCCTCAACTGAGGTCATATGCCTATTTCTGCACCAATCACTATGGTCAGATAAATGTGCATCGTAATTGGCTTAAGGCTGGATTGTGTCTATTTTTAAACCAGTCATTGAAACCAAGGAGATGAGATATGTTGATTGACTGGGAATGGGGAGGGATTGTTTCCCAAAGGAAACTCTGGGTCCTCTTACAAGGAAAGAGGAGAATGAATGTTGGGCAGCCAAAAGCAGATGTCCACTATAGCATCATCATGCAAATGATTTTTTAGAAACCAATTTTTTTTTATTCTAACTATGATAAATTTAATATGAAAGAAAGGTTCTCTAACATTCTTTAAATGGTTCAATGTGCATATGTTTAATCCAGATGTCATAGGGGTCACCACCCATTTGATGATTATTTCAGGTTTCACACTACTCTTGGATTCTCTCAGACCCCAGCTGCATAGGCACAGGAAGTCCAAAATGTTATTGGATGCCCAGGTATTTCCTAGGATCTTTAAGGAGATACTAGGTATCTAGGAGTCACTTTGGAAGTGATTACTTGGCTGCATTTTTCCTCAGACCCAACATTTTAATGAAAGATTCTGTTTGGTTGCCACTATTGTTACTATTGTCAATGAATATCTGCCATATTTGAAGTTGTTGAAATTAGAATGTAACTACTTTAGCTAATGTTGTCACCAATAAAAAAGTGACATCTGGGAGCTGGCCTACCCCTCACAATTAGGCCTTGGCAGGTGGTGGTGGTTGTTGTTTCGCATGGAAAATTTCACAGAATATCAACATCAGACAAGGCTACTCTGTGACTGCGTAGATCAAGGCAAAAACAAAACCACTCCATAGTATGTCTGAATACAGGCAAAAACATGAACAATGTCTAAACCACAAAAGTGACCAAACATTTTCCTATCCTGGCTAATATGAATGACTGCTCTTTCTTTACCAATTATAGCTAAGCTTTACTTCATTCCTCCTGTCATATAGATAAGATTTATTAATATTCCCAATTGCTAAATTACCCCTGCTTCCTGACAGGATTCAATCCAGAGCAAAGCTGTACTTCCCTATACTCTCTCCAAAATCAGCTAACATAAGCCCAAATCCTATAATGAGCTCTAAAATCCTCTTACTGAGGTACCCATGGTTCCTCAGTGGTGTGTTTTTTCCCTTGTGGCAACAAGCAATGAACCCAACTTCTTCAACTACTGGTATGTTCTTGATGTTCTTTGGCTGGTGGACATTAACATCAATAAATCTACAATTCTGTGTTTTCATTCTTAGGAAGCAAATAGAATGCTTATTGTAAATTCCACTCCATTGCCAGAATTGGAGGTAGGGAGTCTTCTAGAAAGTTACTTGAGTCCCAGTGTTCATTGGTTACCAATAAAGCTTTTTCACTCAAATGCTAAAGTGAGTCAAGCCTTAACTTTGAAGCAAAGGCCCCAAGTAGAACTATTTCATTAGAGTCACCCACATTCTCTTCTCATGAGTACCACTTAAACTGCCTGCCACCATCACTGTTGATGCTGATTTTTCGGTATAGGTCTTTATTTATTCACCCAGGCAAAGATGTCTTTTCAAGGTAAGAAAAGGTGTTGGGGGTCAAGAGAGCCCCACAGTGAAATTGACGGAACTCCAAAGTACTGTAATTTCAGAAATGCATACACATACACATTCTCACAGACTTATTCCACTAAGGTGATTGTGTTGGGACAAGTTTGGCTGTTTGCCATACCCATAACCAATATTCTCCAATCATTTCAGGTGCTTTAACTGGTCTAACTCATTGTATATTCTTTCCTTATGGTGAATTCTTTTCTGGCAAATCCCCTCCTAAAATCTGACTTCCGTTATGGCCCCCAATTCTCTGTCAGTTAGGTATATCTCAACCTCAATTGTGGATGGAGTTTAATTATTTTTCTCCTGGAAGGCTCTTGGCCCCAGGGCAAAGGATGCAAATAGATACAATATAAAGGAATTTACTGTACTCCTATACTCCAAAACATCTAGTCCTAATCCAAATTGACATACCAAGAGGGAAGTTGTCTAACTCCACTGACCAAAAGCATCTGGGCTCCAATGGGTATATAGTTAGTTAATAATATAAAGAGAAAAGTTTGTTTGTCTCATAAAAGGTCCAATCTGAGGAATCTGAAGAATTTCCACCTGCCCTATATTGACATAGGATAAGGACCTGCCATGACCACCAGGATGGAAGCATGAGTGGAATTTAGAATGAGCTATTTATTCTTCTTGAGTTACTCTTCTAAAATGGAGCTGTGACCATGGAGAGAGTTCAGAGGGATAGAAAAGACCACAAAAAAGACAAAAGAAGAGGGTGAAAGGCAGTAGAAGGGACTCCAGGATACTCATCTTGCATGGTCTTCTGATATCTAACATCTCTGTGTGTTTGTGATAAGTTAATAGAAAGGATGCTTTTTTCTGTTTGTAGACTTCCATGTATGTGCTTATAGTGCATGCATAATACATATGTACGCATATAAACATAATCATAGTCTTTAAATATACCTTAATTGATTGAAAAGGCCTTGAAAAATGGAGAAAACCTCAAAGCAAACACACAAGATAAAGGGTTCTTCACTGATAATTTGGTTAAGATGACCTTTCTTGAAAAGACTATGTTTACGAACTTTTTGAAGGCACTTAAAAAACGGTCTTAGGTATATTTAAAGTGTATACTAGCCATGTTTATTACACAACAACACTTTATAGTTGTATAAATTTGCTACTCTTCTCTGATTTAAAATTTGTTTTCATCAATCAAAGTTAACCAGAAATTTAGGGTCTGTTTATATTTTATTACTATGACCCATTTTTCCTAAAAAATCCCTAATATAATCCCCAGGGGAAACAGGTTACTTTAACGTATTGACCATACAACCCAGGGCCTTTTTCCCCCTAATTCTCACACTGTTTGAATCGCCTGCAGTTTTAAAAACTGTTACTGCTCACCTCCACCTTGAACTCCTCTGCTGGCTTTTCCTGCTCTCAGTCTCTCATTAGAAGTACTTCTCAAGGAAGAGTTCTTTATGCATTCAAAAGTGGATATTTGAGAACTGCTAGGTGCCAAGCAATGTGTTAGCTGTGAGATATAATAGTCAATAGCTCAGTTTATCTTCTGCTTCTCTATAATTAAAAGAACTAAAATTAACTGAGAATTTAATGTGTGTGTCAGGGCCTATTCTAAGTGCCTCATGTGTATTCTTTCTCGTAATCCTCACAACAATCCTAAGAGCTAGGTGTTAATTTAATCCCTATTTTACAGACATGCAGACTGGGGTGGAGAGAAGATAAACAACTTGCTCAGACATACGGTAAAAGGTAAACCCATGATAAGGTGCCTATACTATTCTGCAAAGGCCATTAAAGAGGTATAAGTTGGGCTTTCTTGGAGGAGGTGACATCTTGTGTAGAATGGATGAAATTTGTAAATGTGGATGTGAGCATAGGGATGACAGTGCAGAGTGAAAGATGTACCATTTACACTTAATATGCTGAGTGTTGAAACATTTACTCAAAACAAAATCATATGTCTTTTTGGCTGCTGCTGTCATCCACTAGCTTTATTTTATATATCTAAAATTACAAAGCAAGATTATTTTAAAAATATTTTATAATTTAGATCCTAAGAAGTTCAAGTGAGTGATGCTATGCTGTATTTGCTGGGGGACATGGTTGGAAATGCACAGGCATCGGTACTGTCCACTGTTGTCATTGGTCTCTTCCCAGTCCTGCTCTTTCTCTGTTGGCCTGACAGGTTGCTAAAGATAATCTTTCAAATGAATAATCATGTATAATGCACTCAGCTAAATTAAAATTAATTTTAGCTATATTTAGGTAGTTAAATGGTTCTATTAAAAATAGGGCTCATTTCTATAGAACAAAAATTTAATTTCTGTGTAATATTGCTTAGGGAATCTGCCACTCTCCTGATATGGGATTCGAATAAAGTTATTTAATACTTATTGAATTGTTTTAGCTTTTTGGTTTTCTCTCCCCACTTCCTTGCCCCATTTGTTTATCTCCTTGGTTGGCTTGTTTGGGTTTATTCCATTTGTTATATTTTTTCACAATTATATTCCTTCTAATTCCATTAGGCTAAAATGTAAACACTAAATAGAAAATAAATCTGCAGAGAGATTTTTTTAGCTTTGTTTTCTGTTTATGTACTTGTTTAGGGAACTGTTTGTTAGTTTGCCAGAAAGTAATCCTGTTTATAAGCAGTAGGACTAGTGTTGGAATTATGATTTAAAAAAAATTATAACATATAATCTTAGGTAAACTTGTCAATATAGAAGAACATCTAGGTATTGTCATAAATAATGTTAATCCAAGAAAATATGAAATATACACATTATAATTTTCATTTCAGGTTGGAATATACCAATAAATATGCTGTTGCTGCTTTAACAAGCCACTTCCTTTTGTTGCCATATTCAACCAAAATGTAGATTGCTATAGGTAACCTATTTCCTCTTTTTGTTTCAAGTAGTTGAACTTAGTTGCAACATGCTGAGATCTGAATGGCTTTAATTTAGAAGATTCTTTGGTGTATAAAAAATAGTTAGTGTATGATATTAAAAACTATTCCTATATAAGAAACTCCATGGGTGCATTTTTACTTTTTATCTATAACAAATTATTTTAATTTGGGAAAACATGCAAATATGTATAGTATACAGGGCTTGTACATTATTATGTAAATTTTAAATGATTGGGTATATTGGAAACTGCAAGTTCTCTAGTTGAATATTGGGATAATAGCATCATTTATTCAGATGTTAGAACTTTACAGATCTTTAAGTGGGAAAGGTGATACTAGTTTATGTAGATTTAGATTGGTAGATAAGAATTATGCCAGGCCTTGACTAAAAAGAAGTCTTTTTCTAATTTTTTAGACTTTGAAAGTAAGTCTAATTAAGGAAACAGTGGTTTTTTTGGTATGTTATGACCTCATTACATGTATTTAAAGAATCAAAAGGTCAGAAATAATTGTAAAATAGTCATTGTTTTAGTTAGTGGAGGCTATTTATGGTGCTGTAACAAAAAAATTCCAAAATCTCAGAATCTTAAAACAGCCAAAGTTTATTTTCTGATCTTGTAACATTTCTTACATTGGTTAGCTGCAGCTCAGTTTGACGTTGTCCGCCTTCTGGAGCCCATGCTAAGCGAGCAGCCCCTACCTGGAGCATTGCCAGTTTTATGATAAAGGAAAATGAAGAATATAGTAGAACCATGCAATGGCTGTTAAAGCTTCTACTTCTACTATGTGGCTTCTCACATTTTATTGGCCAAAGGAAGTCATATGGCAAAGCCTGATGTCAGTGGACAGGGATATATAATCACCCCTCAGGGAGAAGCACCAAGTGTTCTTAACCCTAATACAATATAATCTACCATAATTCACCCTCTTGATCACAAATATTCCTTTCCCCCACATGCAAAATATACTCATTCCATAGCCAAGAGAGAGAACTCAGTAGTCCCATCCAATCACAGTATCAGGCTCAAAGTGTGACGTATTTTGATAGTTTCTCTATAAAGCATGAATGTGGTTCCTCTTAATCCAGAGACTTACAGACCAAAAAAGGTAAATTATCTACTTACCGAAACATCCAATATACAAAGATGGAACAGGGATGGGTAACTGCAATAAACTGCAGTAAGTACTCCCATTCCTGAAAGGGGAATAATGGGAGACATAGCAGTCAATAGCTATGTCATTATATTCTGAAGTCCTGCACACTTCACAAGGGCCTCTTGCCCTGGGATGAGGAATATCCCTTGATTAGTCACTATTTCTGCTTTGTGGGAGGAGCTCCTCAGTACATTTTTTTCCATGGCTTTTTGACCACCTTCTTTTTCATGATTCTTCCTGGACACATCTGAAAAGGGCACTGGAGAATATACCTTCCCTGGGGGCTGTCCACCTTCCTCAGCCTGCTACTAAGTCAACTAACTCAGGGGCCTGCCCTATTTCTGGACTTCCTCTTATATGTGATAATAAATTTCATTTTTTTAATTTATTTTTTTATTGAAGTTATGATAGTTTACAACCTTGTGAAATTTCACTTGTACACTATTATTTGCCAGTTATATTATAAATTCACCACTTCACCTTTTGTGCCCACCCTCCAAACCCCTCCCCCCTGGTAACTACTAATTTGTTCTCTTTGTCCATGTGTTTGTTTATCTTCCACGTATGGGTGGAATCATACAGAGTTTGTCTTTCTCTATCTGGCTTATTTCACATAACATAGTACCCTCAAGGTCCATCCATGTTGTTGTGAATGGGACGATTTTATCTTTTTTATGGCTGAGTAGTATTCCATCATATTAATATACCACATCTTCTTTATCTAGTCATCAGTCGATGGGCACTTAGGTTGCTTCTGCATTTGGCTATTGTGAATAATGTGGCAATGAACATAGGGGTGCATGGGTCTCTTTGAATTGCTGATTTCAAGTTCTTTGTGTAGATACCCAGTAGTGGGATGGCTGGGTCATATGGTACTTCTATTTTTAATTTTTCGAGAAATCTCCATACTGTTTTAGATAGGGGTTGCATCAGTTTGCATTCCCTATAGCAGTGTATGAGGGTTCTTTTTTCTCCACAACCTCTCCAACATTTGTTATTTTTTGTCTTGGTTATTTTAGCCATTCTAATGGGTGTAAGGTGATATCTTAGTGTAGTTTTGATTTGCATTTCCCTGATGATAAGTGATGATGAGCATCTTCTCACGTGCCTTTTGGCCATCCATATATCTTCTTTGGAGAAATGTCTGTTCATATCCCCTGCCTATTTTTTGATCAGGTGGTTTGATTTTTTGTTGTTGAGTTGTGTGTGTCCTTTATATATTATTGAGATTAACCCTTTGTTGGATATATGATTTTCAAATATTTTTTCCCAGTTGGTAGGTTGTGTTTTTGTTTCAATCTTATTTTCCCTTGCCTTGTAGAAGCTCTTTAGTCTGATGAAGTCCCATTTGTTTATTCTTTCTATTGTTTCCCTTGTCTGAGAAGACTTGGTGTCCAAAAAGATCCTTTTATGACTGATCTTGAAGAGTGTACTGTGTATATTTTCTTCTAGATGTCTTATGGTTTCAGGTCTTACCTTTAAATCTTTGATCCATTTTGAGTTTATTTTTGTGAATGACATAAAAGAATGGTCTATTTTCATTCTTGTACATGTGGCTGTCTAGTTTTCCCAATACCATCTGTTGAAGAGACTTTCCTTTCTCCATTGTATGTCCTCAGCTCCTTTGTCAAAGATTAGCTGTCCATAGATGTATGGTTTTTTTTTTTTTTTTTTTTTTAAAGATTTTATTTTTTCCTTTTTCTCCCCAAAGCCCCCCAGTACATAGTTGTGTATTCTTCGTTGTGGGTTCCTCTAGTTGTGGCATGTGGGACGCTGCCTCAGCGTGGTCTGACGAGCAGTGCCATGTCCGCACCCAGGATTCGAACCGACGAAACACTGGGCCGCCTGCAGTGGAGCGCGCTAACTTAACCACTCGGCCACGGGGCCAGCCCCCATAGATGTATGGTTTTATTTCTGGGCTTTCTCTTCTGTTCCATTGATCCGTGTGCCTTTTTTTGTACAAGTACCATGCTGTTTTGACTATGAGAGCTTTGTAGTATATTTTGAAGTCAGGGATTGTGATGCTTCCAGCTTTGTTCTTTTTTCTCAGGATTGCTTTAGCAATTTGGGGTCTTTTGTTGCCCCATATGAATTTTGGGATTCTTTGTTCTATTTCTGTGAAGAATGTCATTGGGATTCTGATTGGGATTTCATTGAATCTGTAGATTGCTTTAGGTAGTATGGACATTTTAACTATGTTTATTCTTCTAATCCATGTGCATGGAATATCTTTCCATCTCTTTATGTCGTCATCAATTTCTTTCAGGAATGTCTTGTAGTTTTCATTGTATAGGTCTTTCACTTCCTTGGTTAAATTTCTTCCAAGATATTTTATTCTTTTTGTTGTGATTGCGAATGGGATAGTGTTCTTGAGTTCTCTTTCTGTCAGTTCATTGTTAGAGGGTAGAAATGCTACTGATTTATGTAAGTTGATTTTGTACCTTGCAACTTTTGCTGTAATTGTTGATTACTTCTAGTAGCTTTCTGATGGATTTTTAGGGTTTTCTATATAAAAAATCATGTCGTCTGCAGACAGTGAGAGTCTCACTTCTTCATTGCCTATTTGGATTCCTTTTATTTCTTTTTCTTGCCTAATTGCCCTGGCCAAAACCTCCAGTACTATGTTGAATAAGAGTGGTGAGAGTGGGCACCCTTGTCTTGTTCTTGTTCTCAGAGAGGTGGCTTTCAGTTTTTCCCCATTGAGTAGGATGTTGGCTGTGATATGGCCTTTATTATGTTGAGGTACTCATTTTATTGAGAGTTTTTATTTTAAATGGATGTTGGATCTTGTTGAATGCTTTCTCTGCATCTATTGAGATGATCATGTGGTTTTTGTTCCTCATTTTGTTAATGTGGTGTATCACATAGATTGTCTTGCAGATGTTGAACCATCCCTGTGTCCCTGGTATAAATCCCACTTGATCATGGTATACGATCTTTTAATGTATTGCTATATTTGGTTTGCCAATATTTTGTTGAGGATTTTTGCATCTATGTTTGTCAGTGATATTGGCCTGTAATTTCCTTCGTGTTGTCCTTATCTGGTTTTGGGATCAGGGTGATGTTGGTCTTGTAGAATGTGTTAGGAAGTGTTCCATCTTCCTCAATTTTCTGGAATAGTTTGAGAAGGATAGATATTAAATCTTCTTTGAATGTTTGGTAGAATTCTCCAGAGAAGCTGTCTGGTCCTGGACTTTTATTTGTTGGGAGGTTTTTGATTACTGTTTCAATCTCTTTACTTGTGATTGGTCTATTCAGATTCTCTATTTCTTTTTGATTTAGTTTTGGGAGGTTGTAAGAGTCTAAGAATTTATCCATTTCTTCTAGGTTGTCCAATTTGTTGGCATATAGTTTTTCATAGTATTCTCCTATGATCTTTTGTATTTCTGTGGTATCCGTTGTAATTTCTCCTCTTTCATTTCTGCTTTTATTTATTTGAATCTTCTCTCTTTTTTTCTTAGTAGCCTGTCTAAGCGTTTGTCAATTTTGTTTATTTTCTCAAAGAAACAGCTCTTTGTTCATTGAGCTTTTCTGCTGTCTTTTTTGTTTTGATTTCATTTATTTCTGTTCTAATTTTTATTGTTTCTCTCATTCTACTGACTTTGGGCTTTGTTTCTTCTTCTTCTCCTAATTCTGTTAGGTGTAATTTGAGATTGCTTGTTTGAGATTTTTTTTTTTTTGTTTATTGAGGTGAGCCTGTATTGCAATGAATTTCCTTCTTAGGACTGCTTTCACTGCATCCCAAATGAGTTGGCATGGTGTGTTTTCATTTTCATTTGTCTCTTGATAATGTTTGCTTTCTCCTTGATTTCTCCAATGATCC